TTTTCTTACCTCAATCAGCTTCCTTTCATAAGAGTTTGCGCGCTCCTCGTTGTTTTCCACTTGCTTTTGTTCAGGAATAGAGAATTCGCTCTCTGCGTTCCAAAGGTTTGGCAAGACTAGAAGCAAAACAGAAAGACAGGCTGCCGTCAGTAAGGAGCAGATCAGTTTTCAATTTTCAGCTTTTTCGTGAAATCGATCCAGCCGCCGCAGATCATTGGACATTTAGAAGAGGGGGTCAAGCTCTTCTCCAAAGCGCCTGAAGGCAGCACAAGAAGCAGCGGATGGAAACTAACCGAGGAGAGAAGCAACCTAGAACTAAGGAGAAACTTCCTGACAGTGAGAACAATTTAACCAGTGGAACAACCTGCCTCCAGAAGCTGTGGGTGCTCCAACACTGGAAGTTTTTAAGAAGAGACTGGACAGCCATTTGTCTGAAATGGTATAGGGTTTCCTGCCTGAGCAGGGGGTTGGACTAGATCAGGGCTTTTCAACCAGTGGTACGGGTACCACCTGTGGTACATTGGCACCTGGCAGGTGGTACGTGACCATCCTAGAAAAGTAGTAGCGGGAGAGGGGAATGAGCTGAACCGGTGGCAGCACCGCACAAGCCTGAGCGAGAGACGGCTGGAGCTGCAGGGCTGTCAGGGCTCAGCGGAAGCGCCAGGATCAGTGCCGCTTTCCAGCTGATCGGCGCTTCTTTGGGGCTGTCAGGGCTCAGTGGAAGCACCAGGATCAGCGCCAGGCTCCACCTGGAGCTCGGCGCTGATCCTGACGCTTCTGCTGAGCCCAGAAGAAGCACCGATCAGCTGGAATGTTGCAGCATCTCCAGGATCTTGTGATTTACATTCAGATGCTTGGCAACTGATTCATATTTATGACGGTCACAGTGTCCCAGGGTCATGTGAAGTGACCAAAACCTGCTGCAACCACCTAGCAGACGGGGGGGAATAAAAACCAAACATCCCCCACTGCACCCCCACTGCCAATCCTCAACAGAAATGCTCACAACAATGGAAACCTCAGACAGGAGGAAGAGCGCCACCGGGTGGGCAGGCAGGTGTCTTGCTCGGCTGTGCCTTGGGGGAGCACTTTTTTCAGTGCCATTTGTAACTTCGAACAGTCACTAAGCGAACTGTTGTAAGTCAAGGACTACCTGTACTTTATCACTTTTTTCCTTCTTTTTTTTTTTGGTCATCGTGTTTGACACCTTGCTAGGCGACTGGTGGTACTCGAGATATTGCCATATCCTAAAAGTGGTACAATGGGTGAAAAGGTTGAAAAGCCCTGGACTAGATGACTTCCAAGGTCCCTTCCAACTTCTTCTCTGTTGAACCAAGCCCAAAGAAAACAGCAGGGGTGCTCTAAAATCCGTTTGCTTAACCAAGACCCACAATCACAACAAACATCCCACCCCCCCTTTGCTATAGCTTAAAGCAATGAACTCAGCGGTGGCTGTGTTTACAGTATATTATGTGCTTAACCAGATTGCTGAATTAACCCATTTTCCGGGCTTACGCAGTGCATCAAATCATACTTCAACCAAATGGCCTAGATTCACACCCGACAGTAATTCACACACACAAAACCCGAGAGCTGAAAAAAACAAACAGAAAACTAATCGCATTCTGTGTGGTTTTTGTCATGGTGATGCATTCAGGCTCTCTGTAGGGGCACGGTGCATTCGACAGAAAGATTTTTTTTATTCTAGTTGCGGAAAAAGAATCCCCAAACAAGGGAGGGAAAATATTCTGGTTAATGGAAGATAAAACGGCAACGTTGATCCCTTAATGGCCCTCCTTGCCGTTGGCAACCTTAAACCGGCAGCTCAATATTTTTCTGATAAAACAGCAGCTAAGCAGTGAGAGATGAAATGGCTTATGATTCTTTCAAAAAAAAAAAAATGGAGCGAATTGAAGCCCCAGATACACTATATTCTCATCTCCACCCCAGAGATAAGAAATGCCTAGAACTTCTTTGCACATTTGTAGGTCTTAAAACCGGCTTCAATCACATCGACTCTGAAGGTGTCAAAATCTCCAAATCCATCACTTGGGATGACCAGCAAAGATGAATGCAACTTCATGAAGAACGTCAATAATAAAAATAAAATTAATGGAGATAATCCATCATAATCCCTCTCTTCCTTCTTCCCTCCCTCCTTCCTTCCTTCCTTCCTTCCTTCCTTCCTCCCCTTCCCTTCCTTGAATATCTATAGCTAGATTTCCTTTCTTCTTTCCTTCCTTCCATCCCTCCCTCTATTTCCCTTCCTTCCTCCCTCCTCCATCTTCCTTCCTTCCTTCCTTCCCTCCCTTCCTTGAATATCTATAGCTAGATTTCCTTCCTTCTTTCCTTCCTTCATCCCTCCCTCCATTTCCCTTCCTTCCTCCCTCCCTCCTCCATCTTCCTTCCTTCCTTCCTTCCCTCCCTCCCTTCCTTGAATATCTATAGCTAGATTTCCTTCCTTCATCCCTCCCTCCATTTCCCTTCCTCCCTCCCTCCCTCCTCCCTCTTCCTTCCTTCCTTCCTTCCTTCCTCTCACCCTTTCCAAACAAAGGACTCATCTACCCTTTTTTTTCTTTTAGGTATGTCTATAGATCCCTTGGAGCCATTCTTGTAAACAAATACAAACTTTGAGGCTGAAACATTCTTCGTCAGCAGGCCAAGAATACGTATTAAATCCGAACCAGGACAGTATACAGATTATTCACTCTCAGGCCAACTGTGTCACCCTCACAGTTAAACAGATAGGAATCACACTCCCAGGAGCCAATTCCACTTTACTGTAAGGCTACATTGGCAGAATATTGCAAGTTTGGGAGTACAACCCTTCCCTGTCTCCTATACAGTCCGAGAAATTAGAGAAGGTCCCTCGTGATTTTCTTTCTCAACCTGTTGTGCAGCTGCGGGCTATGCTACCTCTTCTTCCACTGTTCCCTTGGCAGCGTCTCTTCGCTCGGTCTCCCAAGGTCTTTCCCACGTGCCATGTCAATCTGGAAGCTTCGTCGCCTCATTGTACACTGAAACTCAATTTAAAACTGTACTAACAAACAGACTGTAGGCAGTGCCAAACTTAAGCAAATGTACTTTATTTTGCAGCTGCTTGTTTGGTTCCGAGCCAACTCGCTCAGCTAGCTCTGGGAAGATTTCAGTACCAGGCACTGACAGTTAACGCGGCAATATGCACGCGCACACACTCCTCTAGCCCAGGGCTTTTCAACCTTTTCACCCATTGTGCCGCTTTCAGGGTATGGCAACATCCGAGTACCACCAGTCGCCTAGCAAGGTGTCAAAAACTTGATGACCCCCCCAAAAGGAAAAAAGTGATAAAGTACAGGTAGTCCTCGACTTACAACAGTTCGCTTAGTGACTATTCGAAGTTACAATGACACTGAAAAAAGTGCCCCCCAAGCCACAGCCGAGCAAGACACCTGCCTGCCCGCCCAGCCGCGCTCTTCCTCCTGTCCGAGGTTTTCATTGTTGTGAGCATTTCTGTTGAGGATTGGCAGCGGGGGTGGGGGGGTGGTTTTTATTCTCCCCGTCTGCTGGGTGGTTGCATGGTCAGTTCACATGACCCTGGGACACTGTGACCGTCATAAATATGAATCAGTTGCCAAGCATCTGAATGTAAATCACAAGACCCTGGAGATGCTGCAACATTCCAGCTGATCGGCACTTCTTCAGGGCTCAGCAGAAGCGCCAGGATCAGCGCTGAGCTCCAGCTGGAGCCTGGTGCTGATCCTGGCGCTTCCGCTGAGCCCTGACAGCCCTGAAGAAGCGCTGATCCTGGCGCTTCCGCTCAGCCCTGCAGCTCCAGCCATCTCTCGCTCAGGCTTGTGCGGTGCTGCCACCGGTTCAGCTCATTCTCCTTCCCTGCTACCACTTTTCTAGGATGGTCGCGTACCACCTGCCAGGTGCCAATGTAACACAGGTGGGACCCGTACCACTGGTTGAAAAGCCTTGTTCTAGCCCACCTTCATCCATGGAGATTCTGGAACTTGGGTTGTTCAACTTCCCAAATAGAATGGATCCTGTCCAAGATTGAAACTTCAACTGAACAATGGAAGCCTTGTTCTAAAACTCAGGCTAATATATGTTTTGTGTGTGGGTTTTTTTAAAAAAAAAAACAGGGATAGAGAGGAAAAACATGTTGGTTCTAGAATTCTTACAATATTTGTGAATAAAGAGATATCCTAATAATCCATGTTCTGTTGAGATACTTCCTGCCCCCACATTAAGCCCCAGAAGCATTACATCTCAAATTCTCTGTGTCTTTCATTAATGCAGGAGGAGAAAAAAAGATTACTTGCTAATTACCTAACTGATTAATCACCAAATACTACTAATGAATTAATTACCAAATACTAATTAATTAATTACCAATCACCTACTGATTTTGATGGAGAAGGGCAACGAATGAAAACCTCTACGCCGATGGGTCTCGCATTCTCAAGGACAGCCAAAAGGATGAGGCTGGATGCCAGATTCAAAACACATAATTCTATCACCCATATAGCTTATGGAATTTTTAAAAAAAAAAAACCTCAGAAAAGCAGCTCTATTGACTTTCAATTCAACATCTAAGAGGAGGTTTCTGCAATGGTATGTGGGAATGACCTTGAAAGAGAAGAAGAACAAATGCTGCCTAGCTAACATTCAGACAAAGAGTGAGGAAGCTTGCAGCTGCAAAAAGAAACACAGAAAGGAACAGTCTTCATTTTCCAGGCTGTAAAAAGATTTGCACTTTCAGATTGTAGATTCCTACCTATAGGTGAATATAGGTAGGAATCTGAGTGAATCCTCTTGCCCTTCTTGGTTCCTGGCATCTGACAGTAATCATTCCAGGCTAAACCCTATTCTGCATAACTATCAGATGTGCTCTCTGAGCTTGGTGGCTTTCTTGCAGACGGTTCATCACCCAAACTAGGTAACATCCAGGTAAAAACTTGGACAGTGGTGGCGAACCTATGGCATGCGTGCCAGAGGTGGCACTCAGAGCCTTCTCTGTGGGCACGCGTGCCATGCCCCAGAGATGGCAACCGTCCCTCTTCAACCAGCTGCCTGCTAACTCGCCGAGGTCCCACATGGCTGGATGCATCCCAGCACCCATGCGCTCGCT